AGATAAATGAAAGTACATTGTTATTTCTTTCATTTAGAGTAAATTAACTAACTTGGTCCCATTTTCCACATTCTCTTGATCCTCCCTAAAACTTTCTGGATTCCATCTTGTAATTGTTCGCTCTTCAACACTATAATTCCCTAAACAACAAGGTGAATCAACCCCATTTTCACCATTTTTATTTACATAAAGAATCAACAATGTCTTTGCAACACTACCAGAAAGCCGAAGCATACATTGAAAATCAGACCAAACCCTCAATCTATCATTCCCGATTCCATTCCCATCTTCATTCCCATTCCAATTCTGATTCCGATTCCGATTCCCTTCAGAGAAAACCAGCACACTGTATTGAGAGTGAACAAGTGAAGGATGATGACAGTATGCCACAAAGTCAACACCATACTGACACCCGGATCTCACGACCCAATTCTTGGCTCTTAAATGAGAATAAGCTTTAAAGAAATCAGGAAAAGATACCCTTTTGGAGGTCATATTGATATAGTCCCATAACTCGTTATTTGTTTTTATAACATTATCACCAGTTACAATCTTTATACAATTTAGAGAAAAAGATAGATAAAAGGCTTCTTCTAAGGTCAACTCAAACCATTGTTTATCTTTATCGATTGTTATAATTGGTCGACCAAAACAGGCTTGATTTAGAAGGTCAGTTTGGTCAGGATTAGTTGCAAGAAGTACACTAGAGCCTGATAGTATTCCTGAAGAATTGGATTTGATTAGAGAAGATTGGAGATCTGAAATTGTCTTTGACATGGGAATTTCAAGGGCTTTTGCTTCTGACCCTTTTCCTTTCCATCTTGGTCCACCCATTAAAACCTTCAAAAAAAAAGAAAACGATGAACGTGTGTAGAATTATATGTAGAGAAATTTGGTCACTAGACGTTTAAAATTCGTTATTAAAACCATTCGACATTAATTGTCCCTAATTGGAAAAGCATAATGAAGTGGAATCACAGAAAAAATCACGAACAGACTCCACACAGGAAATACAGGAGACAGAATCAATGGCATATAAACACTCAGCACAGCAAATCAATGGCATAGAAACACTCGACACACACTCCAGGCAGGTATAATCACACACATACACTCCAGACAGCAAATACTATGGGGTTGAAGAACTGGAGATGAAACCAATAATGATGATCAATGGCATATTACCTGATGGACGAAGTCGCTGATGATCAAAATCGCGGCTGGGTCTAGGTTTTCTGGAGCAAACGGCCACAAGGCGACAACGGCGGAGTCGAGGTGCGTCGATTGGTTTTCAGCCTCATTAACGTGTTTGTTTCCGTAATTAAAATGATTTTAAATAAAAAATAATTATTATATTTGTATTTTGAGAAGGAGATTGCAAAAAAAAAAAAAAAAAAAACACAAAACCGAGAAACGGATCCGATCCGGCCAATTCAAAACCGAAAAAACTCGAATTGAAAAAAAACCGAAACCGTATTTATGGGTCGGTTTCGGTTTGGATAATTCGATATTCACGGATATTCGAACCAAAATTTCGCGCGCGCGTGTGTGTGTGTATATATATATAATATATATTATATATAATATATATATATATATTATATATATATATAATATATATATATATAAGAGAGAGAGAGAGAGAGAGAGAGGTACAGATGACAACCACAAAAAATTAAACCCCTAAGAACCCCTAATTCTTAAGTAAATATGTATTGTAAATACTTATTAAATATGTTAAAAATTTTAATATATATTTTTTGGTAAGAAAATGGAAAAATAGTAATTTTTATAGTATAATATTTTCATTGATACATTCATTAATATTTTAACATACAATTTATATAAATTACAACTTAGTATAGACAATTTACAATTTAATATATAAAATTCACAATTTAATACAATCAATTTTACACTAATTTACATATTACATATTCAGTGAAGTTAAACCAAAACTTTATCACGATCACAACACACTGCCATCAACCATTTGTGCTACTGTCACAGCCACTATTCATTCAAAATCATATCATATCATAATAATATCATAATCATAATCATAATCACAATCATCATATCATAATATACTATAAAGGAAATATTTTTCCTTTCATCATATCAATTTGAAACTCCCAACTCTTCATATTTCCATATAAATTACGTAATATATTTACTTAAATATGTTGTTAGTTAGAAACATTATCATAAATGAAAGACTTCTTGAATTATCAATATGATACACTAAATTTGATGACTTGGAGTTTGAGGTCGGGGATATGGTTCTCATGAAAGTGTCACATTGGAAAGATGTCATCCGGTTCAGAAAGCTGGGCAATTTGGGCCCCAGGTACATTAGTCCTTTTAGGGTTACAGCCCGGGTGGGAAAGGTGGCGTATAGGCTGGATCTGCCAGTCGAGCTTAGTCAGATCCAGAGTACCATTCATGTCTCCCACCTGCGGAAGTGTCTGGTAGATGACTCCGCAGTGGTACCTTTAGAGGATATTCAGGTGGACAACAGGTTGAACTACATCGAGCGGCCGGTAGCCATCCTCGATAGGAAGATGAAGGATCTGAGGAACAAGAAGGTCAAGTTGGTGAAGGTGCAATGGCAGCATCGCAAGGTCTCAGAATGGACTTGGGAGCAGGAGGACGAGATGATAGAGCACTACCCCGAGTTATTTCCAGATGCAGCAAACTTCGAGGACGAAGTCTAAAATAAGCGGGGAAGATTTGTAACGCTCGGTTCCCGGTATGTATTTTAATAAAGAGTTATTCATTTTTGCAAAGGGACTCGACGAGTTGGAGGTCCCAAACTCGTCGAGTAGGAATGAGATCTTGGATGCGGGACTTGAAGTTTACTCGACGAGTCGAGAAGCCTCAACTCGGAGTAGGGCTGCCATAGTGAAACCCTAATTTTCAGGGTTTGCACCCTATTTAAAGACCTTACCACTCCCATTGTGGCCTCTCTCATCGCCTCCCATAGTCCAGCAAACCGTAAATCGTTATATTGAGCTTTGTGAGTACGTGTGAGTGAAAAAGGAGTGATTCTTTGGTGTTTTCTTGAAGGAGTGGAAGATAGAAGTGTTTGGTTGAAGGAATGAGCTTTGGATCCAGAAGAAGAGCTTCATTTCCAGTTCATTTGAGGTATAAAGTCTGTACATTGTCTATTTGTCTACTAGATCTCTTCATGGGGTAGTTTAGGGCCATATGGAGCTTATTATGGAACCATTCATGGATGGAAGCATGTTTTGGGGTAATAACTTCAGATCCAAAGACTTTGAGGGACTCCATGGCATAAAGGTGTCAACTTTATTGCCATGGGAGTCCCATGCATCTTATAAACCACTTTTTATTAAATTTACAGGGACTGATTAGGTAAATCAGTAATACTTATAGTTTAGGCTAATGATCCATGTTGGTTAGGGATGGACTAAACCTATATGAGAGTCCATGAAGGTTTAGTCCAAAGGGCCTACCAAATGTGAAGAGTCATGGTGAATTAGGGTTTACATGTAAGAAACCCTAGGAATTCCATACTATAAAAGTAACCCCTAGCATCCCTAAAATCGGCCATAAGAATTCCAAGGTGAAACCCTAGCCGATTTGTGCTTCCTAACCTCTCTCTAATAAACCTCCTTTTTCTTTTGGTGTTTGTAACTTATTAGAGGTATCACACTTGAGGTACTAAGCTCTTGAAAGGCCAAGAACTACATGCTACAACTAAGAGGTATTCATTTAACTAGTTTTTATCTTGTATATCTCCATTTGCATGCTAGCTAGGGTATATGCTTTGGATAAAATGAAATTGCATGTATAACTTGAGAAAAATTAGATCCAAAGCATTAGGGTTGTATGTGCACCATAGGATTGTTATAGTTCTCAAAACCCATCAAAAAGCTGCCTGCTGCTCAGGCCCCCAGGGAAATGTAACAGTCTTCTTTGTCAATCGAGTCAGGGGAACAACTATCTTGGAGAAATCCTAGATAAATCTCCGATAATAACCCACCAAACCAAGAAAACTCCAAATCTCAGATGGATCACCTCGGAACCTCCAACTACATCACGGCCTCGACCTTGGCCGGATCGACCAAAATACCATTCTGATTGACAAGGTGCCCCAAAAACTGCACCTCGTGCAACCAAAACTCACAAGGAGAACTTTACGAAAAGTCTCTCTCTCCTCAAAGTCTCCAGCACTTCCCTTAAGTGCTCCTCATTCTGCTCCTGAGTCTGGGAATAAACCAAGATATCATTCCTGAACACAATCATAAATCGTTCCAGCATCGATCTGCACACGCGGTTCATGAGATCCATGAATGCGGATGGAGCATTGGTGAGCCCAAAAGGCATCACCACGAACTCGTAATGACCATAACGAGTCCGGAAAGCTATGTTCTGCACATCATCATCCTTAACCCTCATCTGATGATAACTTGATCACAAGCCAATCTTGGAGAACCAAGATGCACCCTGAAGCTGGTAAAAAAGATCATCAATCCTCGGGAGTGGAAAACGATTCTTCACCGTTACCGTATTCAGCTCCTGGTAGTCAATGCACATATGATGAGACTCATCCTTCTTCTTCCCAAATAAGATTGGTGCTCCCCGCGGCGAACTGCTCGGTCGAATGAATCCCTTGTCTAACAGCTCTTGCAGCTATGTAGACGAGTCTTGCATCTCGAGAGGAGCCAACCGATACAGTGCTTTGGCTATCAGACCGCACCTTAAACTAGATCAATCCTAAACTCAACCAGCCTCTCTAGAGGCACCCCAGGCAAATACTCTGTAAATACATCAAGATAATTTTGCACAATCGGCGCATCATCCATGGTTGCCTCAGCCTTATCCCGGGTATCCATAACATATGCGACATATCCGAAACAACATTGATGAATATATCACCTGGATCTCGATGCTGAAAACAATAACAACCCACTCTAAGATCTCTCTCCATGAACCACTAACTCTCCCCCACTTAGGATTGAACCCAAACTAACCGCTGCTCACAATCAATCACTACCCCATTAGGGCTCAACAAATTCGTAACAAAATGGTAACCAAATCTACCAAATACTGCTCACTAAAAAACTGAAGAGTACAATCTCGATGAACCCTCACAACCCAAACAGACCTATCATCAACAATCTCGACATCTAGAGGACAATCCAGGTCCCCCGGAGCTCCAGCAAACCTCTTTCTAAGTGCAAGCGATACAAAAGATCGGGTAGCCCTCGAATCAAACAATACCAATGCAAAAATACCGTTCATAAGGAACGATCCTAAAATAAAACACATAAACATAAGCAAGCAATTCAATATAAATAAAGAGATAAGGAGAATATACATACTCATCACCATGTTGGGAGCTGCATGAACCTCCTCGGCCGTCAACTGGAAAGCCATGCTCTTCACCAAAAGTGAATCTTTCCGGCCCTGGATGCCATCAGTAATCCGAAGAGTTGCAGGAGTGGATGCTGACACCGGTCCTGCAGCAGCCAAACTCATACAATGGGCCTTCTTGTGGCTACTCTGATTTCAATCAAAGCAAATCAAATCATATACCGGGGTGGTGGTAGTAGTGCAATCTCTACTAATATGACCAGTCCGACCGCACTTGAAGCAGCTCGAACCACCCACCCTGCACGCTCCCTCGTGCACCTTGTTGCACTTGCCACATCGACTCCGGCCACGATGGCCTCTCAACTTGGAATCAGAGACCTGGGGCCTCTTGCCTAAGCCCTCAGCACTCGACACATAATCTGTCTTCTTCTTTTTCTCCATCTCCAGGTCAATCTCCCTTTCTCTAGCCCTCGATATCATACCCTCTTATGTCTTGCAGCTGGATCGGCTCACAAAATGCCGAATGTCACTCCTCAATATCTCATGATACCTAGCCTTCTTCATCTTCTCATCCGCCACATACTGCGGAACCAAAAGTGCCTGCTCCCGAAACATCACAGTGAAAACCATCTCAGTAGTCTGGTGGAGATCCTAAAACTCTCGCGCCAACAACTGCACCTCAATCACCGGTGTGAACTCAGACCAAAACCTGGTCTCAAAATATCCCAAGTCATCGAATCAATGGTCTCAACACCAACCGCACACTCGAAATCCTCCCACCAATCCCATGCCCTGTACTTTATAAGACAGGAAGCAAGTCTGACCTTTAGCCCCTCAGGGCAACTGCTGGTACGGGAGGCGTTAGCAACATCCGCTCACCACCTTTTTCTCGCTTTCACGTCCTTCACTCCATGATAGTATGGAGCTCCACATGTCCAAAACTCCATGAAGGTGAATCAACGTGCCCCAACCATGGCCACCATCTCAGAGAGAAAGACGCTCAACCGCTCATCTAGAATCTCCAGAATGCCCTCCTTCACCGTACCAAGGATCATAGTAGTCTACTGTAGAATTCAACACGTAATCTCAGATGAGATGAACTACCTAGTCTGATCATCTAGATGCTAGCTCTAGAACCTGATCCCGAGCCCTTTCCAGCAACAGAACTACCACCAGGTATGCCTCACAATGTCACCATACTAAAAAATGGACCTCATAAACCATCAAAATACGCATCAAAATATATCAAGGGATCACAACTCTATAAGCTCCCTGGTTTCAACGCGACCCTCCTTGACTCGAGTATGGATCCTCTGCTTCCATTAGTACGGACCCATACTACCTTCCACATTTATCCGTACTTTCCTCAAGGATTGCCTCGATTCCGCCTAGTCACCTTATAACCATACAATTGACCCTCATCAAAACAAGGTTCCTAACACTAGATCTCATCCTAGGTTTTCCTAGGGAGAACTCCACACCACTCTTCGCCATCAACTGCAAAAGGAACACCCGCTAATTTCATCTAACTAGCTCACAAATACAGTTATATATCACCAAAACTAGATAATTCTTTGAAAGAAAGGTCTAACACTACAACGGTTGGATTTAGACAAGAGCTGCGTAATAGTGATAAAACCTAACCTTCTAAAACTACTAAGTTCCCAAAAATGTAACTTAGCATATTCGCTTACTAGTTAGTTGAAACTAATTAGAACATCCTAGAAAGCACAAAGCAAGCAGCATTTGGGCATCAAGTTACCAGAACCAAGCATAACGTAATCAAGCCATCCTATCTCTGACTGGTCAGTACTACCATGCAAGTCTACAAGCTCATACAATAGGCATACAAAGGCATCTCTCCTAGCATTCTGTCATGCAAAACTAAGCAGATCATTTGCCCTAACTAGCATGCGATTCACAGATCAAATCATATAAGATAACATGTATGGGTATTTTTGGGAAAACTTACTTGAGCTCGGCTGATTGCATGCACCACACCCTTTCCTGTCTTAGAAAATTCTTTTCTTATAAATACATTTACCACATATCATACATAATAAAGACATAATGGGCCTCGAACGTCATCAGTACCCCCCG